TATCAAGATGTGCAAAGGAGCAAAATTAGGTTGATATCATATTTATAGCAAATGGAAAAAGAGATGATTTGATGTGCTCAACATTAGAAGTACCGAATGAGGGTAGATTAAACAATTTTCTTTCGTATAGAGCATTCTAGTTTCTCTGCTTATTTATAGGTTTCCAGGCCGTAGGTGTTACGAACTTCCTGGAATAATATGAGCGCCGAGTCAGATTGATTCATTATAAATTATTTAAATTAATCCCAGCGTGTTAAGAAAATCTTGCTCTGCTTATTTATTTAAATATTAAGCAATACATGGTGTTCGATGTGTAGATTACTTTTCACTTTCTACAAATCATGGGAAAAGGAAAGGGATGTTAGGGTTATATCATGAATGCCAGTAGTATCTGAATCTACTTAATTTTTTTTTCAAACGAAATAGACAATGTTGTCGAACCCTTTCAGGCATCACTTTCAAAGTATCAGCGTACTTAGCTTTATAAGAACTCGTTAATTGGTATACACTTCATTCTGTAAACTTCGAACTCAGTATGAACTCAGCCTTGTTTCTCAGTTCCTTCTGATAACGACACATTGATTAAATATTTTTTCCTGTTGTGCAACTTGCTAGTCACATTCGATCGTTTTGTTTAATATTCAGCTCCATCATCGGTCCTAATATTTTTCTGTTATGCGCACTGATCTTAAATTATTAAATTGTTTTGCACAAAAATTTTATTGTAAATTTCAGGATCATTTATGGAATTCACTAAAGAGGTTTGAGATTGTGCGACTGTTGTCAACTGAAGTTGTCGGATAGCTTATATTTGTTGAACAACTTGAATTCGTATCGCAATATTCATTGCAACAGAGTATATGAATCGTAAAGAAATTTCCATTCGAGAGTATTACCATGTCTTCTTGATTAAGAACCAAAATATTATTACATCCAGTTCTGTCTTTGGCTGAAACACGTTAAAGTGGACGGAGAGGAAGAATAATGTGTTTTGTGAATTGTACATTCGGGAAATAGCAATCATATACAAAATCATGAAGTGTTATTGAGGATCTTTGTAATTCAATTGTTCACATTTCATTACAAGGTTAGGTGACTTCATTAGCAAGATTTCTATCCTTATCTCGATTATGATAGTGTATTTCTTTTATGTGTTTCAGAGTAAACATGACGAACCATGTTCTTTACGTTTACTATTACATGGTAAAGGTAAAGAATATGGACGTGAAGTGAAATATTTGGGTGACAGTTGTCTATTGATAAATTACTTAAATGATTCATCAAGTGTTAGTGAAGATACTGAACGGTTATTAAATGAAGCCAATATATATGGTCTTTTAGATAACTTAAAAGCTGGATTGGAGCTAAGACCACCGTTGCTTCACCCTCAACCTGAATTCCTTCTGCCATATGAACTACAACAACCTGTAAGTAACGTATTCATCAATGTCAAATAGATTTTATATTAGTGCAGCAGACTATTATTCTTTCTTATTTAGCCTATTGTGACATATGTAGAAACAAATAAATTGTTCAAATACAAGATGTCAGTTTCATCACATCTTAGGCATCACTTTTCTATAATTTAACCTTTTTTAAACTCACCGAAAGTACCCATTGAGTCATGAAGAAAATAAAAGACAATTCAGCGAAGAAAATTTTCTTTATCGACGAAATCATCTTCAAAGGCTGTGCAGTCGTATTTATATTTACCAAAAATGCGTAGTGGTTTATTATTGAGTAATAAGGGGTGACATAATTGATATAATTACTGAGAAGTGGTTTTATAAAGGAAAATGAAATTTGTAAATTACGTAGTACTCAACGGCACAAAGGAAGAAAAGTTAGAAATAAGGTTAAAATTGTTATTGAGTAAGAAGTTAGTTGATTGTTAATTTAACAAGTGTGAAGAACATATGCGAGTGATAATAGTGAATTAATTACTAAAGTAAACGAAAAATTAAACCTCCCTTCTTTTAATTGCTAATCGTTCCTTTTTTGTCATTTTCTTTGATATTTTTAGTTGACAATCTCTCAAATATACAACCTTCCATTAATTGTCAATAAAAGGGAAAGAGAGTTTCATAACTGGGATTTATTATTTCCCCTAACTACACAGATCATTCCCTCTATTCCACCTTCTAGTTGGTTAGTAATTGATAATCTTCCAAAAAGTGCTTCCAACTTAAATGTTGTCTGTACACGATTATGTGCCCGAATTATTGATGTTGCTCCGCTTAGTGTTCAAGCATTAAAAGATTGTTTATGGTTAACGTGTAAAGAATGTTCCATTTCACAGAGAAGTTCTTGTATTTCTAATAATGACATGTATGCATTAATTACAATGATATTTTTTAATGTGTTTTTAACTACTCATTTATTAGTAACGTGTTGATTCATAAATTAGTTTTTAACTCAGATACCAAAGGAAATAAAATATTTCTAGTAGTTGGTAGATTGTTTGAACTTTTGTTCATTCTAGATTTTTGTAGTAGTAAAACTTACTTTTTAAAACATACCAATCAATATACCATTCTAAGAGTGTCATTAGTATAAAGTAAAGACATTCATATAAAACACAAAATGATTGAGCAAAGGATATCCTTTTCGATAAATTCCTCTTCTGGCTCTACAATTATAGATATGTTTATATACATAGAATATTCTAGATTAGTAGTCAATAACTGTTAGTGTTGTTTTTTATCGAAAATGATATTCTTTGCTCAATCATGTTGTGTTTTATAGATGTCTGAATAAATACTTTTGCTATATTGAAATCTTCTGAATATTCATGTAATGGAACAAAAGTTTCTGCATCAAACTTTTTATTCGCAAACTACACAGTTCGAGACGAGAAACACCATAGTTTCTGTTGAAAACCAGAAATATTAAGATCATAATATGTGGTCTGTTTGATAACATGAATGGCATTCAGGATAACATAAAGTTATATTATGTAACTGATTGATATGGGTAGTTGGGAACCATTCACAGTGCTTGCTGGCACTGCACAGTATGTGATGTGAATATTTCTGATGATTTCTCACCAAGAACTGTGTAATGTGTAAATGAAGAATTTGAGTCTAAGCATTACTAGTTCGACCAAGTAGCTAGCCAGAATTTGGGTGGTTTTAATCCTTTCGGCTTTCTGAGCTGAGTCAAACTACCTACACTGCTGATGTGCTCGGTCTCAAACGAACGAAGCAACTCTCTGGTTTTTAGATCACCTCTATGTAGCTACCAAGCATTAGCGTGTGATTTAATTTGATTTTAAGCTCAATTATCCGGAACAGATTTTTCATGTTCCACGCTTATCGTGTTGGGCACCGGTGGTGATACTACCGAGTAGCGCATACTGAATAAGGTGGAGGTGGACTCGAATGCCTGACCCATTGGCTGAAAACCAAATGCTTAAGCCAATCAAACATATCCCCATTTTTGCATTGAGTGGTTCCCAACTACTCATATTAGTAGCAAACGCCATTATGCTATACGTTTCTGTAGTCACTGAAAGTATGGATCCTACCTCACTGCAGCCAGTGGAATTATTTCGGTTTCCACTTAACGTGTTACACTCCTGCGACGGTACTATCATTCTCCACTGATTGACTATTTCAATGGTTTCAAATCTTTGAATATTCCCATTTATAATATTAGAACAAGACATATAAGCGAACAATATTGTTTTCAATTAGATCTTCTTCAGGCTTTACTCTAATTTACATAGATTTATATATAAAATTTTAACCAATGATGGTGATTTTGGGAATCAAATAATAATCTTAATAATAATAATAATAATAATAATAATAATGTGGTAAATGTTTTATTATTAACTACGTTCAAAACATTTACCACATTATTATTATTATTAAGATTATTATTTGATTCCCAAAATCACCGTCATTGGTTAAAATTTTATATATAAATCTATGTAAATTAGAGTAAAGCCTGAAGAAGATCTAATTGAAAACAATATTGTTCGCTTATATGTCTTGTTCTAATATTTCAATGGTATATAAAATTACTTGGAAGCATCTCTATAACTCCCTAATTCTCGTAATCTACTTTCTTTTTATCATGTATCTGAATTCTTGGTGCATTGTTTTGATAAAAACTAATTACTGCAAAGTCCTTAGTGCTATTTGAAATTTATGAACACGACACTGCAGTACATTGCAAAAATAACGTCATCTTTTTATATTCTTGTTGCACTTAAATCTAGACTTTTTCATTATCCTTCTTCCTTCAGCATCCCAGTTTAGGTCACATTATGACTGTAGAAACAATTATCAACATTCATATTCTGTCCTGTATTGCATTAGCGTTATTATCACTATTACTCCTATTATTGTGTTTTATTGAAAACTGGTTCCCCTCCTTCTTACCACATCTGATCAGATTGAAGCCTGAAGGCGACACAGTACATAGTCAGTACTATTTATTTCCTTAACCACGTTTGTTTGGTAAACTCCTATGGTCTTGTAACGACTTAGTTTATGATCTTTACCTATACCTTTTATTATGGAGGGTTATTTACAGCAGTTTTTTTACGGTTGTTTACTACTTTTCTTTTCATCTTACTCAAAACATTCTAGAACTGATAGTCGTTGTCGTTGGTAAGTTGTCCGGGGACGCACCAACTGTCTTAGCTGCCATCTAGTGCTCGGACATTGATTGTCAACTACCAAACTTTGACTAATAAATGCAAAACACACTGCAAAGTGGATGACTTCTGTTCAAACAGAAAGTCAGAGTTATATTTTTAAAAGTGTACTCAGTACTGACCTGAGATATTAGGTGTTTATTATTAAATTATTATTCCCTTATGTTCCCAGTGGATGTAGCAGTTTCTTCACTGTTTCTTCTGCCAACTTGTTGACTTTCGCCCGTGAGTCTTCCAGTTTACGGTACATTTGACATAAATCATCTGCACAGTCCAGATCTTCTGAAGTCTTCTTGTCGATCCAGCGTATTCTGTTTTTTTCTCACCTCACCCAGTTGACTATAATCAGGATTATCATCTTTGACTTTAGACAACCTTTTCCTACTCCCGTCTTCTCTTTAAAGGCTTCCCTAAGCTTTCCGTTTACGAAGTATAAAATCTCTTAGTTATCCATGAGTTTAAGTATTCTTTCATTTACACAGAATAGAACTGGATTGGTCAATTTTCTAATTAGTTCAGCTTTTTTATCTGTGAAGTCCATAAATTTCAATAGTTGTTAATTTTCCTTCCATAATGGATAAAATTAATTTTGATAACGTCGTACAGTTTTAAACAGTAATATTTACCGATGATGTTTCGATCACAATTTATTACTCATAATCATATCAAGTTACTCGCACAACTTTCAAACTTCGTTCATATAATTCCATTATTTTTCATCTCATCCGTTATCTGTAAAGTCAGGCTTATTTAAGTGTCTAACAAAGCGAGCAACAGCACTAAGTACCACAAGAAAGAACCTAGACGATGAAATAAAACAGCTAGAAGAAGAGTTTTTGTGTTAAATAACTAACTATCCTATCAAATCCATTAGGAATATCAAAAAAGGTCAAAAGCAAAATAAAAATAATGGGGAAACTAATGATGATAGCATAAATGAGAAAGAATGTAAGGCATCTATAGTTTCACCATATACGGAGATGACATATGAAACCCTACGCAGGATTCTTAATAAAGCAGGAATTACAGTGGTATTGAAACCTACAAACTCACTCAGGGACAAGTTCTGTAGTTTAAATGACCCTGTTGACTCAATCAAACAAAATGATATTATTTACAAAATACCTTGTAATGAATGTGAGGTCAACTACATAGGTCAAACTAGTAAGTCGGGGGTAGTCAGATTGTCAGAACATAAGAATTTAGCTAAGGTAAGAATGGTTGACCCCGAGAAGATAAGTAATTTAGAAAAAAGCTCAGCGATTGCACTACATGCATTGACACACCCATAAAGTGGGACAGAGTTAACATTTTAAAAATTAATATAAGTAGGTGGAGAGAGAGGTTGATTACTGAGTCTTAATAACTTATTTAGGCTGTAAGCAGATGATGAGATGCCAACGAATTGATTGTACCATATTATTCTGCAAAAACTGTCGTTCTTGCTTTTTTTTCAGAATCTTTGTTCGCCGAATCTACACCCAACACATGCAACAGGAATGACTGATCACCAATACCAGAGATATGAAAAGTACTACTACCAATTAAATCAAGAGACGAAAAATAATGGAATTATGTAAACGAAGCAAGAAAGTTGTGCGAGTACCTTGATATGATTATGAGCAGTTAATTGTGCGCGAAACATCATTGGTAGATATTACTGTTATACCACTGTAAGACGATATTAAAATAAATTTTCTCCATAATGGAATTATACTCTGACACAGTATCCAAGTTCTGTTCTTATATTAATGTTTCTTTATATAATAATTTTTGCTATCATAACTTCAGACCGTCTTATTGTAAGCGGAGGTATATTGAATGTTTACATCACTAGATTCGTTTTGTGAACCACTTTTTAAAAGTCTGAAATACCCTTGTTTTGTAGTTGTTAATGTTATCATTTTTCGCTTCTTTTTTCTTCCAGTGGTATTTGCGAATGCGGATCTCGGTAAGTTGATATTACCTTTTTTGTCTATTTTGAAGTTTAACTTTTCTGCCTTTTCTTTTCCTACATGTAGAAGATCTATCCGGTACTATGATTCTAACTGTTTCTGGTCAGGATGTTATCAGTTTACTCACTGATTTAATCGATAGTCAGTTAACGCCATTCATCCACAATAGCACATGGTGGTCAGGACTAGTTTTTGAATTGCCAGAACTCAAGAATATGCATATATCACCAGAAGAAGTGATCCTTGATCAATATCATCAATTATTAGGAGAGTGGATTGATGTAGCAGTTAAAGTAAGCTGGTCAAAAGAAACCGTATCATCAGATTTTGTGAATCAGAATGATCTTCAAATTAATTTAATTGGTTGGGATTCTGTATAAGGATATACCAGCATGCATGAATATCATGCATTTGTTCATTTTATCTTGTAATTAAGACATAAAATATATCTTTATAACTGTATATCACACTGTTGTTTTGCTAAACTATTTTTTGTTCGGATGTCATTTAAATGCTTACAGTGTAACATATTCGAAAGTGTTTTCTACAAGCATCTATTTTTGAACTGTTATTTGTTTCTTCTGTGAATGCAAACAACGCAAAAATCATTTGAGCCTAAAAGAATACAACTGATCGCCTTGGATTTCGTTGCAATTTCTCCAGCACTTTATAATCTGAGAACAGCATAAGTGGAAATCAAAGAATAAAGTTGTCATGAAGGAATCAGTGTTATATGATTGTAAAAAGCTTTTCTTAGTAATGTCATAAATTAGCTGCCCCTTAGAATATAAGACTCATAGAGTAAGGATCACAAAGATTGCTTTAATTTCAGTGGATTGTAATTACACTTAAAAGGGTAACCAATGCCTGTAGGCTTGGAATCTCTTTGTTATGCAGCCTATCAGTTTATCCCTACTTACCGTCCCGTTACTAAGAATAATGCTGTTTTTAATACTTTGACTAAATTAGTTAAGGGTTGGTTGTTTTTCTTTGATGCGTTAACGAAATATTTAACTATCGTTCATTGGTATTTTGATGACGACTTCAAGTAGAAAACTAAGACACTCAGAGGACAACAGACTAAACTGGGGAATATTTATTCATTCACTTGCAATTGCTTCGTGAATATGTTTAATAATTTTACATTTAAAATATGTAGTAGCTAGCAGAATGAATACAAAGTTGTTAAGATTGGTGAGTGTCAACCGAAATATAAAAGAGGTGTAGTAAAGATGATGAAGTGTTAATTAGTATGAGAAAGTGTTCAAAGAACGAATTATTACCAAAATAAGTGTGAAAATAGAAAAGAGGTGTTATTTAGTAAGAACCAGTTCCTTCCTATCTATATCGTTGAAGCTTCGGTCATCAAAATAAAGGAACCAAAGCTTTGTATACAGTCCTACCTCTTACCATAGAATTGATCAGCTGATGTTAAGATTATTATTAATAATCCTTCCATCGCACTTGATTCTTACCCAGTGGCACCTCTTTTGTGCCTATGCTCCATTTGAGAATAATTCGTTACTGTGGGAGTTTGTCATATTACTCATACCCTTATCTATTATTATTAATTCACCGTTACTGTACCTCTATTAAATTTGGACTAACGCTCAGTGATGTTAACAACTTTAAACTCTCCTGATTACTATAGGTTTAAATGTAAAGCCATCGGACACATTCATCGAGCGAATTGTATGTGATTGTGGTTGTAAAATTGTAGTAAATCGAATCACCGCAAAGAGTTACTTCGATGGCTCATTTATTTTCTTTTTTGCTCTCTGTTTTAACGGGGATTTACCGTGAAATCTTTCCCAGTGACTAGTGTCTTTTGAACAATCCTGTAGATTATATCAATGATAACTAATGGAAGGAGCTTAATTCAGTCATTGTAATCCAAAACAGGAATAAGTTAGGAGAGGAAACCAAGTCAGTTTAGCAGTTAAGTGCCTGATTGCACTGTTTTATAGCTTGTTAATCGGTACATCTCTTCCGTGCTAATCGTTCCATATGCACACTATTGATCTTCCACAACATGAAAAACGTAGATAACCCACGATCTGACTGACTGAATTACTAAAGTGGAGCTTTACACAAAGTGCATCAATTTAGCTTCCTACACTTCAGAAAAGCAAGCGTAAAACTAGAGGAAGGAAATGTAATGAAACTAAAATAGACAGAAATGTAGCGAAAACGAATAATTAGCTAATGATTTCGAGTAACAACCAAAAGTGTTTAACGATTGATTTCAGGCATCTCGATGAACGCAGCCAGACAGGCTACATGGCTTGAATCAACAGTCAAAGACTTCACGGGCTGATACCTTGCTCTGGTCTGACCACCCCTAACCCTCTTCCAAAGTAATTCTACGTCACATAATGTTGCTCGCTAGGAAGGCGCTAGCTTAGTGGGCGTAATACGTCCTGAACATCTCGATTTAGGGAATTTCATCTACTTCCTTGCTCGACAGTCCACGGCGAATCTCATCACTTCAACAAAACAATAAGAGGACGTAATTTATCTGGAACGTGTAATGTGTTGGCGCAACATATTCTGGACATTCTGATCACACAACGTATTTGTCTTACAGATTTATATAGAAAGCAACAGGACATGAATGATTGCAGTATAGGCAACAGGTAAGAGGTAGGAAGACATCGTAAGAAAAACAGGGGTGAAAATATCAGAAAGTAAATTGGAACTTGGTTTTAATATTGGACTACCAAGGCAGGTTCAGACTAATGACAAATAATTTTCTAACACATGGAACAGGTGTACACCTTTTATGGCTAAGGCTTCAACGAGTTTGAAGATGAGCATTTCCGATAAGTAGATGCGTTGATATGATGAGTTCATTACGACCATTGTTGGCTGATGTTGCGTTGTAAATCTGGCTGGAGCAGATTCGATGAATTTAGATGTATCGTTTATTTTAAGTTTTCGAAAACATTGCAGTTACAGTGACGTAACAAACTTTTGAGTGAACATCCATGATATTGGGTTTAAAGTCGGGATGCATCCAGGTTTTTAACTCTCTGGCTCTCATCAACATAATATCTTTATGGCCTTGAGAAAACTAGTGTTCCTTCTAAAGTTTTTAATTTTTCCCTCGATTCCGCAATGAAAAACCTCATGACTGTAATTTTCGGAGCTAGAGTATTCGTATAGTCTTTCGATAAGCAGTAATCAGTTCCACTTAAATGTAACAAGGTTGGGCCGACTGATCCATAATATCACGCAGCTGCACATCACTGTCATCTTATGCAGTTAAATGCCGACATTGTGGGCCTGATCAGTACCCATAACGTTGTTTGTCATCCAGAGATAAATTTAGAAAAATTCATAGTAATAAAATAATGATAACTAGTGCCATCATTTTACAGAAGTTGCTCCTGCCGTAAGTAAATAAAAATGGTGTTATTTGTTCACAAAAATTTAGTCAAGAATTCATACACCCTTACACCTGAAGTGTAAATCTTAAGTTCTCCGTCAATGTCCCCTAAGAATTGTGTTGAATACCGAAAAAAGTAGGGCGTTAGATGTTGATGGGCATAAATAAGAAGATAGCTAACCGTGACGTCAAGCCCCTGTTTACCGTCACTTGTGATTATCCATAACCATGTAGTGCACTTTACATTCCCCCCCCCTATGTAACCCTTCTGACAGTAAGACTCTTGATTATCACTCGATTCCACAAAATTAGAAGCTGTCAAACTGTAAAAGGTTTTTTGCGACATGTCCCATAGGCAAAATCACTTTGGATATGTGTGTACGCTGACATTGGTATTTTTCAGTTATTTTGTAGAATATTTTCTACGGTCAGCCATTATCATACTTAGACTTATGCTAATGTCAAGTTGTTAGGGAGATTTCAACTTCTTGGAGGATATGGAGAAATCTGCTGCAATATTAATTGAAGCATATAATTAGTTGATAATGAGATGTGAAATTATAAGTTAGCATGTGTATCTGCTTCAAACTCATCAGTTGTAGGCGTTGACATATATGTCCTGTGAGTCGATATATTGAAGCTGTCATCTCTGTTAACTTTCTGCAGGATTTAGAAGATACGAGAATTTAACCTGTTCGCCCTAGCAAATCAGAGACTACTTATAAAATGGAATAAAAATTACGTTAAGCGTTTAACATACGAATCAAGTAATTTACTTTAATTTCAAAAAGATTTCCACTACTGACTGACCCTTTTATGCAGAGCTCTGGAGAACTATCTTATTTTAGCATTTGGATGAGTGGTGAGTATGCGCAACCAAATAGAGTATTCACATGCTTCAATTTCCATTGAATCACTACATGCAGTTTCTAAAACCTTATCGTCAACAACTGTCACGCATTAATCCTAGCTTCTGACATAGTGGAGAAGATTTGTAGCTGAGGTGGATGATATTGAATTAGTTGTGTTGTCTGAGCTGGTTGATTTAACTGCGAAGCTTTCATCGTCCTTCTAGACAACATCTTCAACGCAAGTTTTAGTATAAAACAGACTTATTTAGTTTCTCCATAAGTTATATAATCGTATCTCCTGACAACCACTGTCGTCACTGGTTGTTAATTTACGTCACTATTGATCATTTTTATTGACATGGAATTCGGAATTTCTTGTCATGTGACTTTCTTTTTATCAGCCAATTTGGCTGCAGAAAGACATGCATGTGGATAGTTATGGACACAGATTTGATTGGGATAATGTAGAAATGTTAAATACAGGAAATACCAAAAATGTCAAGGAATTCCTAGAAGCTTGGTATTAAAGTGAATAGCGGTTAACAGACATATTATTATAGACCAGCTCAGAACTAATTCTATTATTCTATCTTCATCAGCCTAACTTGCCACAGTTTTTACTTTTAACTTCAGAACGTCAGTCTCACTGTCCAACAATGTTGTAGAGCGTCGAGCTAGTAGTCCGAATGCCAGTGATTCGAAACCTACACAGATTCAGATTTTTTTTCACTCATAATAACAGTAATTTTTCTGCCAGCCTAACGCTATCCTAAATTCTCTTATCGTCAAATATTATCTAATCTTTTGGTTTGATCTTCGGTGATTTTCCATCTAGTGTTAGTCTATGATAAGAAATATCACGGAAACAGTTAATTTCCCACAAAACATTAAGAGGAATTTCTAAAAATAATTGAATAACTTTTAAAGGTATCTACCTTTTCTTTGAAAGATTCTCGCATAACTGTTACTTTTCGTATCTGTTAACGTAACAGATAGCCTATCTAGACCTATCCCCAAATAAATTCCAGGAAGTTTTGTACTACTACAAAATAAGTTAGTAGCATGTGAAAATTGACTCAATTTTCTCTACAGAGAACAATGTCTAGATTATCTTTCAGAACCGAAAGGTTCTTTCCAGACG